TTTATTTCATACCTTAAACCTGCCAACTCCCAACAAGGCCAAAATGTTGATGATTTCAGCCGTGCTCACTGCCATCTGCAGAGCCTGCCCTCAGGCTGTTCTCCGTTTTAGCCCACAATTTTCCACTGCTATCCTAATTACGTGCTGAGAGGAAGAGACGGCTTTTATATAGATACACAAAAATGTGATATGTTTCAATACATCACGTACCAGATAATACCAAGTGATAAGGTATCACTTAGAAATCAGTGTGTCATTTCACCATTTCTGATCATAGTACAGAACGAATCTGTGCTTCAGTTCCACTGCTAACTGTCCAGTCCATTCACCCAATAACAAGTTTATGTTTTAGTACTAATAGTTTCCTGTTCCTCCCATGGAAGAAAAACAGCCATGCATCTTCTCGCCCAAGATGCATCCTGAGTCCTTGGGTGTGTGTGACAGTGCCAAGCAACAAACTGCATATAGTGAACAATAAACCAGTTTGAAACTAGTTGCATCATCATGGCTTCTTGCATTGGGAATTGTAGTTTTGTGAAGGTGCTGAAGATTTGTTGTGATGAAGCCTATGCTAGAGATTTAAATTGGTTTGAAACTAGTGCTAAATAGGTATGGCTTCCTACTCCGTACTTCCCAGTTGTGTGAAGCTTTCTGTAGTCCTTTAATTTCAACTCCAATACAGAGGCATATTTCCCAGGGCCCACAGGTTGGAAGACATAACAGTGAAGCCAGCATGAAAGTGGACATGCCCGAAACGTGATGCAGTAAGGCCTGTTTCAGTAAGTCTGTAGTGCAAATTACTGTGTTTTTTTCCCAAACAGGGAATCCATTTTTGATAGTAGACATTTTCTCCATCTAATCAAACCTAACTTAGTGCCAAATATTTGCTGCTGCTGCTTTTGGGTTAGAAAGGGGAGGGAGCTAAAGGGCTGCTTCTCAAACTCCGTAACTTTTATTTTTTATTTTTTTTATTGAGCCTATCAATGAAAGAGAGATCAAAATATGTTTCAGATAACAGTATTTTAAAGAATTAAAACTGATATTTCTGAACAAAAGTGCCAAAATTCCTTTTTGTTTGTTTGATGTTTACTAGCATGCATATTAACAAGGAAGGACAACATGGTTTTATGTTTATAAAGAAAGAATGCAGTGATGGAGGGAAAGATTTTGGAAAGTGATTTTTAAGGCACGTGAGAAGACATAGTTTTAGGCAGAGGTTGTTTTGCAATTGATGGATTTACATACTGTTTATTGCAGGGCAACGTTCATTGCTGTAGATCAGCCTTCCCCAACCTAAGGCCTTCCAGTTGTTGGACCCATTGAAAATTCCCAACCAGCATGGTACATGGCCATAGCAGTGAGGAATTCTGGGAGTTGCAGTGCAACACATCTGGAAGAAACCAGGTTAGGTGAGGCTGCTATGTAAAATTGGCTGATTGGTTGCGCTAGGGAATTGTCGGGAAAGCAGGTGGCACAGCGTAGAAAACTGTTTGGGTGTAGAAGCTGAGGGAAGAGTAGGCTTGAGTATTTTGGAAGCCTATAAACCATGCCCTTGTGCAGGAATCTGGACTGGGGGGAGGAGAAGTAAGAAAAAGAAGTTGCTCCTCACAATCAGGGTGTTACAGATTCAGGAAACTTTAATCCATCTACGTCTGGAGGGCACCAGGTTGGGGAAATCTGGTCAAAATACTTACAAATCTGAAATGTTTATTTATTCCTTTGCTGAATATAGAAAACAGAGGTTATCTGATTATTGAGATATATTATTTTGGATAGACATATGACTTATAACTTGCTGTGGCTGGTACCCATGATAAAATTCTGGTATTAATAACCATATACATTTTTTCTTCTATTTTTCCCCCTTTGAATAAGAGAACTTATTTTCCATTAACACTGTGTAAGTACATTGCTAAGTTGAGCATGTTTCTGCATCTTGTGTGAAGATGAAAAGAGGCTTCAGATACATTTTAGAAGCAACCCCAAGTTTCCTCTTAAATCCTGTATTGAGTGCAGGTAGAAAACACAGAAGATTTTAAAAAAAAAAAAAAAAAACCTCCAGAACTATCCAAAATAAAATCAAATGTATTTATAAAAAATAGTTGCATGCTGAAGGCCATGGAAGTCAAATGTTTAGTATTTTTTTAAAAAGTGGCAGTGCCTTTCGTTTTTGTATTTACCATTTATTGCCGAATGCAACTGTTTTATAATAAGCAACTATATGATAGTTTCAGAAATTGCAGACTATTTCACTACATAGAAATGTGAGTTCTATTTTTTTTTTCCTTGTTCTCATTACAAGAGTATGTAAGCTGGATACCTCTGCCTGCTCTGCCAGAGACAACTTTTACTATGCGGTTATCATGTACGAAATTTATATTGGTGCTTTTCTTTCTAGTGATTTATGACAATTGTTGAATGGGGAAATGCAAACAAATTTATGTAACAGAATTGGGGGTGTGAGGGCAAGGGGATGAATTCTAGTGTTTATGCTGCTTTGACAATTATTTGAGGGATAGTAGTTGACAAGAGGAAAAATCCAATAACGCAGCAGGCTAGGCATTTTCATTCTTACTTTCTGGTCTGTGATTACTTTCTGTACTGCGGCGCAAAGCAATCCGGCACTTTGATGTGTCCTTGACTGTGATTTGCACTGCAGAAATAAACTGTAGGCCACAGGTCTTAGCACTGGTCCTTTGGCTAATTATTACATTCAGAAAAGAGCCTGATTATGTGGTGATGGGAGACAACCACCATTTAACGCGCTGCTTTGTCACCAATCAGCACGTACTCATTCTCATGACCGTTGTTAAAGGAAAATTCCCAGTTATCAGTGCCCCATGTTAATCAGCCAGGATAACATTCGGGCCTTCCAGCTCAGCACCCAAAACGTCTAGTCACCCATCATTATCCAACATCAAGCATACCAGAGATTTAAAGATTGGTCATCAAGACTCAACCTTGGCCTGCTTAGGTAATAAACACAGTTTGAGACTAGTGGCCTGGTTTAAAAAGGACTGTATCTGTGTTTAGTAGCATCTAATCTAATGGCCTTTTAATGCATAGAAAGGCTTTGGAGCTTCACACAAGAAGCAATCTGTGGACTTCCACATAGAGCTCCATAAACAAGAAGCTGATTCAGAGCATCTTGTTTGCACTGGAATCCTACAGGGAGTGGGACTCGTTGGAGGAGCTGGGATTCAGTGGGCAGTGTCCCATCTGTAGATAACAAGACCCTGTGTTCATTTTTGTGGCAAACTCAGAGGCACCTGCAGGTGGCTGTCAGCAGGGGACAGGTAATGTGGCAGCCTTGCACTGTCACAATGAAAGCGCCACTCCTTTGGTATATGTGTTGTGAAGTCGCTTGCATGTCAGAAGGGGGCAGAGCTTATGGCGAGCTGCTGCTTTGGTCCTTCTGATGAAAGCCGCCTATCTTGCAAATTACTCCAGACAAGCTTGAGTATCCATCCTCAAGAAGACCGCAACCCACCTGTCATCAGGCAGCCTCTTTATATTCTCTAGACACTGGGCTTTGGCAGTGCCTTTTCCTCTTGTCTAAGATGAGGCCAAGCAAGAAAAATATCCAAGAAAACAAATCTTTCTTTGTGTCATTTGCTGCTCCTTTTTGGCCACTGGAACCTTTCCCAGTTTGAAACCAAGATACAACCGAGACTTTTCTCTCTATTGTCCTGGGAGCAGGCAGGAGAAGAACTTTCCTTGTTAGCTAACTCTACTCCCTGAACAAAGGATTGTTTTAATGACAGACATACAACTTTGTAGGCGCTTGGCTTGTCTGTGGCTGCAGAATTATGCTCTGATTTAGCCTAGAACCCAGGGCCCACCTTACAGTCAACTCCTTACTGTTTCTCTTCTCTCCTCCTCCTCCCTCCCTGGGTTTCAAGGAGCTAAATTAGAAGTTCTGAATGTTCTTGCTTCCCCTTCCTCATCTCACTTAGGAACACACAAAATGTGACATAATGGCATTGTGCCCATATCCCCTCTCCCTAGCTATTGGCTTCAGGAGCAGGTCAACAGGAAATGGGTTGCATTCTGTGCTTTCACTAGACACGATGGGGAAGAGGAGCAAAGAGATTTTCAGTACAGCAACAGGTCCATCTCTCTTGTAGCATGTAGCGAGTAACAGTTCCCTTCCCTCCTCCCCAATCAAGGGTTTTCTGGATGTGCCTGATTCTAAGAAGTAGAAAGAGTAGACTTGTAGAAAGTATAATTTGCACACAGCTATGATAACACTAAAGTTGATTTTATACAAGTCATCAGAGTTTGCAAAGTGAGTTTTATTTTTTGTATTCCTTTAATCTTTACTTAAAAGGTGAATGTGTATTCCTCTGGGAGGAATTGCAAGAAAACAGGAATGTTAATAAATGTTTAAAAATAAAACAGAATACTTCCTCCCTTATTAATATATAGCCCTTATGTATTTATGCCTACTGTAAGCAAATGAAAAAGCTTGGATTTCCATTTTGTTGCATGCCTGCTATCGGCAAAAATGAAAAAAGAGCCTTCTATTGTACATGCATGCATTTTAGTCTTGATCTATTTTTTTTCTGTTTTATTTTATTTGATTTTTGGTTAGGGGGAAGCGTGTATTTCCCCTGCATAAAGTTAGTGCACAAAGAAATATTTTTGCCTAGTTAATGTTGCCAAGCAATGCATATTTTTAAAAGAAATTTGTCATATATGGAAATAGCATGTTTGTTTACATGTATCGGCTTCCTGATTAATCAGAAGAAGGAGGAGGGGCAGGGGGGAAAGTCTAATGTTTGGGGGTGCTGTAATTTCTTTGCAAGTGTACAGTTTTCAATTTGTTGTTATTACTGGTGAAACACCCTTGTGATTTCAACTTGCTACAATATATATTTATTACTCGTTCTCCTTCCATGTAACTAGGAATCATGCCTATGTTTCATATCAACGTTATATTGAAAGTGAAGGGAGATGATTAATACAAGATTTTGTAACATTGGGGAGTGTTGCCTCTTTATTTGGTGTGTTTGGATCAAAAGGAAGAAAAGGATTTTTTTTTTCCCCTCTCTGAAAGGGGAGAAAAACCCTCCGTATGAACTGTGAATTAATTTCAGCAATGGTTTTAATTCGGTATTCTGTAATGTTACAGAATAATATTGAATTGAACAGAAAAGTAGGATAAACATCAAATACATGCTCGAGACATCCTTCACAAACTTAGCCCAGTATTCCAAAATAAGCAGAGTTATGTGGGGACATTTCTGGGCCTTGTTCCAGCTTCTTGGGTAGCTAGAAGTAGTATACACAGGCATCAGAAAAGTGTGGCTCCTTTCACACATTTGCTGAAAAAACAGGCAGTTTTTTCTGAACCTCAGCAACTTTAACATGTGTGGATTTATGCTGAGGGGAATTCTGGGAGTTGAAGTCCACACATCTTAAAGTTGCTGAGGTGGAGAAACACCGCCTTAAGGCACAGATTGTTCCATAATTCAGAGTAGGATCAATTCATACATCCTCCATTCATATCCTTTGTAAGTCTAAACAGCTTACAAAAGATATACAATTGATCTGATTTGGATTTAGCACAAATTTAGCTGTATCAGCCCAGCTATTGTAGTTTGTAAACCCATGTTTTATGGCAGTGGGCCACACCTTCCAGCAGTTTGAGGTCCTCACCAAATTGGTGTGGCATGTTGAGGGCCATATTTCAAAAGATAATGCATTTTGTTCCCCAAATTTACAAAAAAAAAAGTCCTTCACTTCTTTGGCCCAACCAAGCTCTATAGGTTGCAAAAGAGATGCTTATGAGTCACAAGGAGTCCTCAGGGGAGACTTTTTGTACTGTTTTACAGCATGCAATATTGTACGAGCTAAAGCAGTGTTTCTCAACCTTGGCGACTTTCAGATGTGTGGACTTCAACTCCCAGAATTCCCCAACCAGCCTGGGAGTTGAAATCCACACATCTTAAATTTGAGAAGGTTGAGAAACACTGAGCTAAACCAATTGTAGATACATTCTTGGTTAAGCAAATTATGATTTAGTGTGAGATTTACTCATCTGTGCATAGTGCAAAAAGAGTACTGGGGACATGGGCCACAGGCATTTTTTTAACAACCCAGGACAATGGAAGTAAAAGTTGAGAAGCTGGAGAGATTTCTTGTTTATTCTCACAGAAAGCAATTCCAAACTATGTACCTCATGGATGCTAGAAACTAGCTGGAAAATATCTGCCAACTTTAGTATACGTAGTCCTCAGTTTAAGAACGAGTTCTGTCTCCGAGGTCTGTCCTTAAGTCAAATTTGTATGTAAGCCAGAACAGTGTTATTGTGTAATACTGTTTAGGTAGTATTGTGTGATTAACTTAAACCATTGTATTTAACTCGGATAATTGTGTATTTAACTTGAATTTTGCTACAGTAGGCTCTCTTCTTAAATATGCGTCATCCTTAAACTGAGTGTTCTTAACTCGGGGACTACCTGTACATATTGACCGTGCTATAATTTTATTGCAGTATCTAATTAGCCTTAGGAAAGTCTCAGGTGCTCTTAATGTTGTGCCACTACTCACCATGTAATTAATTATAAGAAGACAAAAGATGAAGGATATACAGGTGGAATATTGATGATGGTTATAATATCAAACAGGTCAGCTGTTTTAAATACCTATGTGTGATGTGTTTTGCTGCTCTTAAGAGAGTGCATTCTCAATTCCAGAGAGCTCTCTTTCCAACCACTAGATGGGAACCCAATGCAGCTCTTGGCTTGGAAGAAGGTGGCAGAGGACAGGGTTTGGTTGTCCATGCTTGCTTATTAAAGGTGAAAATTTCTCCCACTTGGGCTGTGGCTGGGTGCTATTATGCAGTGGGGAATTAGGATTCTTCAGGCTTGAAATTAAAGACATCCTTCACATCAGATCCATAATTTCATCACCTCCATTGAGAAGATGTGACAATGTCATGTTACACATTCCTTAATATGTGAGCCATGCATGGTAGTATGAAGCCAGACAGCAACAGTTTGCCCCTTTCTTTCATCTTATCTTATTAGGCCTTTGTTCTTCTATCACAACTCATCCAATGTTCTCCATTGAAATCCTGCTGGGTCACATAAGTAGCTAAACCTGAATCGTGGACAGCAGAGAAATTTTATCCATAGCCATCATAGTCGCGGATACACCTGAGTTGCCCCTCAAAATGCAGGAGAATCACTCTTCCTTCCAAACCCACTCATTTCTACTAGCAATGTATTTACACTCTTTGGATTTCAAAGTGACAGTTCTGCCCTCATTAGCTGCCTTAGCCAGCAGAACATCACTCAAACTCTTTAATCTACCCTATTTAATATTGATTGTCCTATGTGTAGCAGGGCTGTGACCTAGCCACCTCACAGCCACTTAAGTCCTAAATCCTCTGACAATTAGCTAAGCTTTGGAGCAATTTGATTTTAGGAGATCCCAGAGTGTTCTGCCATACCAGACATCTGGGTATCCTCTATTATTGAAATGTGATCAGCTGTCTGTTGCCAGCTAAGCCACAAACTCTGTTTCACCTCACCCTGTAAATGTATGTTTGTGCAACCTACCCATCATTTCATCATCTCAGCTCATCTCTACTACAAATTGACAGAATATCATGTGCATGCTATTATACATCTGTACATTGAATGCTTTCAGCTTGAACTACCCAGAAAGAACAAACTATTTTGGGACGATAAGAAAACCATGGAATGATGTGTGTGAAAATTGTCTGCAAACTCAGACTTCAGATTCCAGATCTATATTTTCATTGAGGTCAGAATAATGACTATTAAGTGTGCTGGCACCATATTTATTTATTTATTATTTCTTTCTTTAGCAGATTTATATAGCCATTTATATGTGTGGATGAATCTTGAAAGAAAAATGGAGCAAATAATTCCAAACTTGATGAAAGACCTTGCCACAGCCAGAATCCCCTTAAAAATTAATTGGATAAATCAAAATATTGGAGAGGCATGATCATTTTCATATCACGTTGCTTTTCCTTTCTATATTTGATGTCTGTTTCTTCATGCCCAACATAGTTCTAAATATATTTAGTCAAGCAATTCCATAGTGTTTGTAACTGTACTTTTCCTGCTCCATAGCAGGTAAATATTTCTTAATACAGTGGTACTTCA